CTTTTATGCGGAAGTGCCCCGTTTTTCGATTTGTATGGAACTGTCGCGTGCCGAAATACTATTAGAGCGCTGTCAAGCAAGCTTTGAATGTAAGCAAAAAACACCCCATCTGGTGACCGAAACTTCGGAGCAGCGATTTACTTGTAGTACCGGTTTGGCCACTCCTTCCTTTCTTACCTCAATGTTAGCAAGATAATAATCACTGTCAACGGAAGTCTAACCAAAGAATATGTATTGTTCTTTGGTTAGATAGGTTCATTGGTTCTTTGGTAAGAATATGTATGGAGAATATGTACATAGACTTTCTTTGGTCTAACTCTGTGTTCGAGAACACTGGTGGTGCACCATTCTAATTACAATTCATTTATATTCTATTTAACTATTTTAAAGTAGAACCTTTGTCGTTCACATCGCCAACACATGCTCCTTCTGCCGAGCTATTCTAGTTGTTGTTCCACAGGTGTTCTGGTGACTACATTACTTATTTATGCGAATGACATTACGCCGCACGCAAACACCACACTAGCACTCTATTCTTTTAGTCCAGTGATCCAAGCATTTCAAACGCAGATCAATTTCATATAAAGCTGAGAGAGAAATAGTATAATTCTAACATATAGTTATGACTGTAAGTCCTCTTATAATGTTAAGCGAGGCTCTATGGCCATTCTAAGTAATCATCCATAAACTTTGTTAATATCATAATTCTGCATTATGTTTGAAAGTTATCTTCATTGTATATTCATCGTTACTATCTATGCTTTACAATCAGTTATTATTAATTACCTATATTATATATTTCGTCTACAATGGTTCTTATACACTTGTACATTTATGTACCTGTGTTCTAGAATAATGAAAGATAGCAAAGGGAACGTTAAGAGTAGGGCCGGCCCTAGCGTTTTAGCCGTCTTACGCAAACCTTAAAAGTGCCGCCTACATAGCTTTAAAAAGTTTAAAATTAAAAGAAAAGAAACTTATAAAAAAAACTGCAACCAGAAAAATACGGTCTTAACTAAACTAAGACAATAACACTTACATAATATTTACGAATTTTTTTTATATTAAAAACACACAAACTTTAGAACTAAAACTAGTACAAACAATACGTTTAAAACAACAAAGAATAAAGAATGTCAGTATAATATACAAAGATGAAACTTAAATTAAAATAATCTCTTTGGAAACTTTTTTTTTTTCCTGCTAAAACACGAACTTCTTTCAGATCTAACCAACATTGCTAACCTATTAAGACAATACTGAGTAGACATGATTCTTAAGTAACTTTTTATTATTTTTAGTTTAGAAAAGGTCTTTCCTCAGTAGCCACAATTGTTACAGTAGCCACAATTATGGTTTAACAAAGTTCTTAAAGCAACGCTTAACTGTGGCCCAGTGTTAAGGCAGATGATGAATTTAAGAATGTCAGCTGGCCCTTCTTTTGTTTTTGAAAATGAAGAAATAAGGTCTCTTCCATCATCCAGTTCTTAAGATTGGAGGAATCATCTGTTAAGACGTTTTCCAGACCTTTACAATGTGCCAGTAATTCACTTTTACACGTCTTTTAAGATTGTGTATAGTGTATAAAACCTCAAAAGAATCGTTATGACTATTAAATAGGTTGAATGTCAACTCCAGTGCTCTGATCGTAAGGGAAAAAAAAAAAATTATACTTTATATTTCTCTTTTGAATCTTGTATAGGGTCGTATACAATTTCATATGAAAAATTTAATTTTTTAAATTGAACACGATGACGTGGTGTAGTGAATTCAAAGTTTTTTTCGCCCCTTCGTCTATTTCGTTAGTTAATTTTCTCGTTCCTTGAACGAAGTAAAAAGGAAGTATTGTAATCGCGAAAAGTTGCAGGCAGAATATTTCTTATATACCTTTTTAGACAGGGACTCGTTAATCCTCTCCGATTAATGGAAAATTCACACATCTATCAATATATCAATATAGCGAATTAGTACATATTCCAGTATGCTAATAAATTAGTCAAACCAGTTAGTCATGCCCACCCTCGGTTATGTTTAAAGTGACATTTTCTGTTCCTTCCTTCGGTACATGATTTATTTGACTCAAAGTAATAATATATCTAAATTATAATATTACCGTGAATAATTATCACGGGACTACTTTCAAGAGTTCATGCTATCTTTGTAAGTTTGTGGAAGCATAAACGAGCTGAAATTTCCTGGATTCTACATTCTAAGTACCTTTATAGACTTGTTAGCCATTTAATGGTAAAATTTTAGTCTATGTATAAAATGAAACCTCCTAACACAAGATTGAATTAAAGAATAAAATTCAGGGATTTGCTGCAAATGTTAGGTCTGTTCTTTCATTTTGTTATGTAATAAAAAAATAAGACGTGATACAACTAAAAAGTGTTTTTAAAAGCTTTGTAAAATGGGGCTATAAAATTTAATTCGTGTATGTTAAATTTGAACTAATTATAATTAATCTTCAGTAAGTAAAATTTAAAAATTTTACATGGCTTATTTAGACTCCTTCTTCCTTTAAAGTTCGATCAGAGCAATCTGTAATTCAGCAAAATACAAGAAGGAACATCAATAACCTCAAAACGCTACCCGTCTCTCATTCTAGCCCAGCAACAGCAAGATTATTATATTGTATGTATACTGATCCTGAGCAAAAGCATGTGTCTTTAGCAAAGGACCTCTAAGGCAAAGAATATCAAAGGAGATTCTTAGAAATTCTTTGTCTAAGGAGAGGTTCCTTTTCTGTAAGAAAAGTAACAATAGACTGCCAGTACAGTACCATGCAGGATCCTCCTGAATTCCTAAAATTTGGCAGTTCGGAAACCATTCATAATATTCACCCATCCGGTCAAGGTCAGCTCGGGGAACATGCAATCAGGTCCTTGAGTCATAATTAGTTTCGACAAAGGGGTACCTGATATGCTGAAACTTCAATAGACCAGCTGTTCCATTTAACGATGTTTGTTTAGAAAAGTTTCTTCTGCACCTTATTAAATATTTTAACTTGGTTTCTTGAGCTGCCCAACCAGTGGTTGCGTCAGTGACTGCAGTGCCAAAAGGCTCGGCCTCGAATTTCAGAAAGGCAATGGATGTTTGTAAAGGTATAGTGTCGGTGCGGCATGGCGGTACCACAAATATGAGGCGAACCAAAAAGTCCTCTCGTGTTGTTTGGTGGAAGGGGAGAGGGATGGGGTGTGGTGTATTTAATTACGGCAAAGCACACTAGGGCTATCTGCCTAAGGGAAGGGATGCCTTTCGTGGAGGACTTTCTAAGGGAAACTGGCTCGTATACACGTTACACATGGGGAAAACCACGAAAACACTCATGCAGCCAGCCCGTTCGCGGGATTCGAACCTCGGACCGAACTACCAGTGTTCAGCGACTTTACCGCTCGGCCGCTGGTGGGCTCGGGAGAGGGATGGGAGACCCTCGGATCTGTTCCCCAGGCATGCTCTCTATCAAAATTGGGGGTGGAACTGAGCCAAATCGCCCTGTCACCTATTTAGTGCTCAAGGCTATTGCCAGCGACAGGCGTATTCTAGCGCTCCTTGCCATGACGAATTTTGTGGACTTGGGCTAACTTCGTCAGACAAGTGAGCATAAACAACAACTTGGTTTCTTTGTTATTGGCTGCTTTTGCTTGGATCGAATCTTGAAATTAATTGTTGACCCCCTTTCTACGAACATAATTTTCTTGAAAATTTTTACACTCACGCAAGTGAGATCGCAATACAATATTCTGCGGGAAGTTTTTCGAAATGTGACGTAGATTTTTTTTTATTATTATTTTACATGCAGTTTCTAACTTTTTTCATATCTTCAGCCTCTCTCTTTAACACTCAAACTAATGTCGCAGAAATTTCCGGTTTTCATACTCTCAGATGGACGAATATAAATTTCAAAGAGAAGTTTTCCGGAACTTTTAAAATAATTTGCTGAGTTTTGACTCCCCTCCCCCCAAAAATTTCTTTTTATTTTAATTTATATTTTTAAAGTTTTCTATTATTCATAATGATAAATTTTTCCTATGTTCCAAATTTTGCGAATTATTCGCAATTTTTTCTGCCGCAGAAAATCTTAGCTAATATTTGTTGCATCTGAAGAAAAGAAACCTGTGACTGATGGCGCTTGAAATCGATGCTTTCTTCAAAACCTATGCCTTCCGTCCTAAAAAAAAAATTGCTCTTTCGCTTAGTTTTTAAATTGTATAATGGCATATTTTTCGTCCTTTTGATTATGAATTCTTTTATTGTGCTCACGAAATTTGACACTTTTCCACATCTTTACTATTTTGAATTCAATTTCTGTGAGAATATTTTGATTCGAAATTTCGAGCATTTTTGATGATTTTTCTCAATAAATTAATGAAGACAAAACCATATCATTAAAATTATGAAGTTATTAGATTTGTTACAGAAGAGGAAGCGTGAAAGAACAGGAATAGTAATACTCTCATCGAGATTTCCCCTCTGGACTTTTCGATTGCTAGCCAGACGTGCTTAAAGATATACCACGAAAGCACGCAAGAAGGCAGGAGTCAGTTTCTTACAAAATAAATATAATGCATTAAAAGCATTTTCAGCAGAAAATGATGTTGAAATAAAGCATTTAAATTTTTTGATGTCTCTCCCATTTGACGAAATTTAAATACTTTGATCGTGAAATTTAAATTAGATAATGCTTTAAAACACAGTTTCCAAACTATGTTTTGGTACAACAGAAAAGCAGTAATCATTTTAAAATCTATTTCATTTGTCTATTTTTCAGTTTCTGTTATTTTCGTTTTCTATTAATAACTGTATTCAGCCATATGACAGATTTTCCTGAAAAACACATGTATTTGACGTAGAAGTTTTGCTCTTATAATCTGTATGTCTTAATTTTCAGCTTATATATATATATTAAAAAATTAGTACTAAATTTTATTGCAATTCAGACTATAATTCTTTTTTGTTCCCCTCCGTTTCGTTTATTCATTACAATCTTTATTTTTCAGATGTGTACAAACTCTGCAGTCATCAAACCCTCAACAGGAGAGAAGACGAGCTTTGATTCAAGAATTATGTATTATCTTATTGTTCTTTGCTGGTGAAAACTTGCAAATTTTATTAGAAAGTTTAAGTTATTATTGGAGATCCATTCCCGATGCATTCATCACTTGCGGGGAAATAAAACGCTTTTGTCCAGCACTGAAAAGCATCAGCTGCGGCTACGATAACTTCAATAAGTGCTACAACTTCCGACAGACATGTTCTATGGATACCCCTCAGCCACGAGACCTGCGCCATTATTCCCGATGTGTGATCAGGGACGCTTTAAACTGTAATTCCATGTTGCCCGATGGGATTTCTGCCTTAAATCTCCCAAATCGTGTGCAGTCATACTTACGATTAGAATTTTAACTGTTATACAGCTAGAGGAAGTTTCATTTGTAATACGGAAAAAAAATATATTTACTAAAGTGTGTTTTATTCTTTCTTATTTTTATATGAATTTTTATAACACTAAATAAACTTCTTAATAGCTTATTTATGTTGGAATTTTAAAGTTATAAAAGGAACATAATTTCTTCTTTAGAACTTATTTGAATAATAATGTAGCGATGCGATGCGGATTAATAACAAAAAGCTGTACTAAAAATGCGATTTTGCCAAAAAAAAGTTGTGTTGCGAATTCAGCTAACATAAACAAAACATCTACTCTCGACAAGCACGAGTAGTCACGTGATTGACTTAATCAATTTGCGTTCGCAATAGCAGCGTCATCTACAAAGTTAAATTAATAAATACGCGCGCCCCTTGAAGCACTTGTTGGTAGATAATAGTTTGATTTCGTTATGAAAGAAATCCGGTAATTATTTCCTATTAAGAAGAATCTTAATTTTATTAATGATTATTAATTTAGTGTTTTATTAAGTCAATATTCGGTTCTGAAAAGGTTCAATTTTGGGGGGAAAAAACAGATGCTTATGAATATTAATTTTTCTTTATTAAATTCCCCAGATTTGTGTTTCATTGTGAAAAGGATTCCAGAAAGAGACGAATTTGCTAAATCCTTCTTTCGCAGTTTGTTTTATTCCATGGAAGTTCCGAACAAATTCTTTTATGCAACTGCCTTAGGACAGGATCTGGGACGAAAGGTCAGAGGTTGCCTTTCCCCTACTCTGGAGTGTCTTGATTTGGCGACGGTTGTAGAAAAAATGTCACCCGGAAAAAAGGAAAACGGAGAATGTCCCAAGGAAAATAAGGAACGGAAATGTCACCCTTCGTTTGCAATGGGAAAATAAGAGTTTAAGCTCAAGCTGGGTGATAAAGAGTTTTATTCAAACACCGTAACTTCGGATTACGGAAACATGTGCGAGTAGATGTGTAGCTGCTTTCTTCGTTAGGTTAAAATAGGGGTGTTTAGGAAAATTTCGCTGTCCGCCGGGGAAGGGGTGTCCGCGTCGCTTTAGTAATTCTCCTCGCACCACATGTAGTTATAGCCTAAGCTGCTGTTGTAGCTTTATTGACGCACCACAAAAACTAATTCATCCGGCTTTGGTATAAAAAGTTGTAGAGCATTTCAAGTTACTGTTTTGCGATAAGAATAGTACTAAATTTTTAGATAATTAATTTTCGCATTTTTTTTTTCTCATTGATTTAACTTACAGAGTATTGCAAGAAAGCACTTAATTGACTAAAAAAACAAGAAGACCACAGGTAAATTAAGAGTTTATTTCAATTATTAGTCCGCGGGACTATTGTTTTCATTTTGCGATTTTGCGTCGAACGCTCTGAATGTCCGTTTCACTTTTCAAAACTGTTGCCACCCAATATTGTGATAAAACAACGGTACCTAGAGCATCGAGTTTCGAAGTAATCCTACTGCGAATATGGGCATCTGGAAGCCCAAATTTGAAATTTGGAATTTGTTTTATCGATTTTATAATTTGTAAAACTTAACGAATTTTTGATAACAAACTCAAGAATTTCAAAGCGAGCCATGCAACGTTGTACAGAAAAAAATTTCCTCCAGCGCGTGAGACTGTGCCGGAAATTTAAAATGTGCTAATTTAAATTTTGCGATACGCCCTTAACTGAATTTTATGGTTTAATCGAAGAACATGATATTTAATAAATAAAGGTACACACAAAATGTTTAAAAAGGCCCCTTGGACGTAATTTAAGAAGAAACCTTTCAGATTTTTATTTTACTAATTTTAAAATCTATTCCAATGGATCCTAACCACGTGATCTGTTTTAAACGTTTAATATCAATAACCCTCTTATGACGACCTCTCCAAAATAATTTCCCAGAGTAGAAATTAAACAACATTAATCTTTCTCTCTTCCTACTCCTTCCACCCACGCACCAATAATTAAAAAACGTGGATGATCATCTTAGAGAGGATTTAATGCTTTACAATGCACGAATGAGGCCCACAGCGCCGAGCGAAGTCGCTGAACACTGGTAGTTCGGTCCGGTTCGAATCCCGCGAACCGGCTGGCTGCATGGGTGTTTTTCCATGTGTAACGTGTTCGAGAGTTTCCCTTAGAAAGTCCTCCACGAAAGGCTCCTCCGCCTTAGCCGACCTGTGTGCTTTGCCGTAATTAAAATCCCAATCAGATGCTAATCTACTCAGGCCGCCTCACTAGTCCATAAACGATTGGGACATCTCCTTAAGACGATCACTTACAAAATTGACAGGTATTTATAGTATAAACAAACCTGCCTGAAGTTTCTTCTCTAGGGTGATGATCTTAGCCAGAATCCCAAATCACTAGAACATGGCTTTCTTATTCCTCTGGAAATCGCACGAGGGCTTTACTACAGGGAGGGAGCTTCTCGCAGACTTTCTAAGTCTGGGCTCGTACCTTTGCACATGGGAAAATAGTAGTGCCCATGCCGCCCCCGCCGTTCGCGGGATTGGAACCTCGGACCGCATCAGTGTTCAGCGTCTTACCGCTCGGCGCTATAGGCTGACACTGATGGAATCTTAGAAGATTTTTAGTTCAAGTAGGATATTATTACAATATGTGTAGTTATGGACTAAAAGCGGCCGAGCGGTAGGCTGATCCCAGGTGTTAATTGGTTCGTTCTAGCAAAGCTTTTCTGTTTTTCCCTATATAACGTGGTTACGAGCTGTTTCCAGGAAGCCCTTTGGCTTTTTTATCAAGTAAACCAACCAAATTAAAGCACTTTATCGTCTCTCTCGGCAATGAGCTCCAATAAAGCATACGTGGGAGCTTTTCGTATTCATAATTAAAACGTATCAAAAACGGAAAATTAAATAATTTTTTTAATTGTTATCCAGAATTTCCTTTTAATTCATCCCCTCAAAAATTTGAGTATGAATAATGTGTATAAAGCAAAGAGCGAAACTTTGAATTCAGAGAATAACTTGGAGACTTCGACCATAGCAGCCGAAAGGAAAAATCGTTGGTCCTCCTGAAGGCATCCATATCCACTTTGCAGATATTTATGGTACTTGCCATAACTAAATAACTGATTTGATGATTATGCTAATCTTTCTACTGAAGCTGTGCTTACTTAATTTTATTATCATAAAACTGTGTTAACTGCTTTAAATAGCCAATGAGGATTTTTTTATATTAGATTTCCTTTAAATTTTTGACATCTTTTAGAAGCCTAATATGTCGATTTTTAGTAAGACGTATTATTTGTAACTGTTTACATATATAAGTACAGAGAATCTCATGACGGCGAACTCTAAAAGTGTTTCTACAACAAAATAAATAGGCTTTTATACTTCCTCTCTATGCACCCCTCTATAAGGGCTTAATCGCTTGCCGGCCGTTAGTTGTGGCTTAGAAAAGTCCTATATTTGGCATTTTGTGGCATAATAATTTCAGTACGTCGCCTTAAATCATAATATTGATTTTTTAAGGTCGTGACAATTTCAATATAAACTAGAATATAATAATCTTACATCCTTCGGATCTGTATTCTCTGAAGCCCTTGAATTAAGTTGATCATTATTGTACGTTGCTATTGCAAATTTAAAAATTCTTATTTTGATATTTCCATATTCGGACTTTAAATGCACAGTATTTAATTTTATGCCAGATTTAAACTTTGTGCATTTCAATAGAGATTTAATTATGGCCCGAGCTGGTTCGGTTGAAATGTGTTGCAGTCTCAGTTCGTGCCACCTTCGCCTGTATGCTTATTTCGCTTTTCGTAAGTAACCAAATTTAGTTATATCATTTTTTAAAATTGTGAAAATAAACAAGAGAGAAGAAAATTTTCTTTTTACCTTATAATCCTTTCTGTTCATCTTTTATGATAATAGTGTATTTTCAATTTTTCTCAACTGTCATTTTATTTCTAAATATCTTTAGATTTTACAGTCCCCGAAATTTAAGTTTTATGTTAAACTCTAATAGTTATTAGAAGAATTATTAGAAGCGTTTGATGTATTAATCACGCACGTTCTCCCATAGATTCGCAAATTTGATTTTCAAATTTTGCAAGCCTTGACAGAAGATTCGTCTGCCCGATTTGTATTTGCCGAAAAGTCTAAACTCGGTCTAAATATTTGATCACCAGTGACATAAGGTGAACAACAAAATGCCACTGATGAAAAGAAATATAAATTCTATCCAGCTCCAAAATGACGATTTAAATAGCAGCATTTATGCGTGGCTCTGTCAAGTCCTTTTGTTGTAGACAAATTTTTCGAATTGAATTTGTTGATTTTTCAGAAATTATTTGTTCTACTTATGACATTGTATAAGACAACTGAGAAGCGACATTGTATAACCTTTGGCCAAAGCATTTTCGTTAAATAAAAGGCCAGGAATGGCAAATTTGATATTCGATCTAAAGATGTATTTTGGTCTGATGCAAAAGTATAGACTTTGGGATCGAGGGCACGTAAAGTGATAATAAGCAGAGATGCAAATTATTAATGAATTTGAAAAGTTGCGTATGTCTCAGGCAAGATAATCTGCCTTCGCTCGGAGGAAAAAATAAAAATAAATTGGAAAACATCCTCTGGCCGGCAGCAGCGAGTCGCCACTTGACTCTGAATCTGAAAAGGAAAGCGGAAGTGATTTAGATAGGAATCAAGGCTTCCTATCCTGATTAAAAGGGGGCCTAGTCGACCCAGAAATAAACACAGTTTTTCAGGAACCTACCTGAATATCACTATAAGTTGTAAATAACACTGACAACTCAAAATGGGTGAGGGGAAGCATTAATCCACGGGTGCAAGAAGCATTAATGGACCATATGAAAATTGCATAATGCCATGCTGTTGGAATACACCGCTGTTCAGAAAATGCTTGGGAATAGTAAAGCCTGAAAACACGAGTTATTGGTTAGTAAAGGGTTCTTCCTAAAATAATCCGCGGCACTATCGAAAATACAGCTAGGCTAGTTGCTAAGGGCGCTCAAATCCCTGGTCTCGATTTCACTGAAATTTTCCCTGTTGCTAGATAAGTTCATAAGAACAGTTTTAGCCT